GGTTCTGTGTAGGCTTTTCCAAAATCAAGAACCCCTTAAATCTCAGATTGGAAGAAGCTTCTCCCATACATGTCTGGACAACAATATATCGATGTCTGCACGTCATATGTTAATGACCAGAGGGAGAAATAGACAGCATAAGACAATTAATGAAGTGACGGTTACAAAATACTACCTCCGTCTCAAAATAAGTGCAGCCATAGTTTTCAGCGTCCAACTATGACCATTTGTCTTATTTGAAAATTTTTTGAAAAAAATTAAAAACATAAGTCACGAGGAAAGTACTATTTATGTTTTATCATCTTGTAACAACAAAAATGCTAATTATAAAAAAATTTCAAATAAAACGAACGATTAAAGTTGGGCGCGGAAACTCATGGCTGCACTTATTTTGGGACGGAGGTAGTAGTTAGCATGACAAAAATATTACGTGCAGAGGGGAGATACAACCTGATGATCAGATTAATCTCCCTAAAAAAAGTTAGGACGAAAAAAAATAACCGTTTCTTTGTTCCGATTGACCAAAGCAAATTGGTGTAAAGCCAACGATAACTTAGGTTTTTTTATGTTGTTTTGGAGAAAGAGGATCCTGACAAGTTTACCACACTTTAGAAAGTGAGCAAAAATCGAAAGCATTGCAAGCTACTACTCTGTCCCAGAAAAAAACCAAATCTTAGCTACGAATCTAGAAACATATATGTCCAAATTTGTAGATAGGATTGGATTTTTTTTAGGATGGAGGGGATATCTTCCAACATATACAGGGCACCTGGAGAATGAATGATCCATACTCTGTCTTCAGAACCACAGAAGACACAAGTGCCGGGATTCTGCTAGCCTATTTTTTCAAATTATCTCTAGTCGATACACTACTCTTGGGTAGAAACCATGACAAAACCATTATTTTTTAAGGAAGTTTGGTTTCCCAGATACAGTTAAAAAGGAAATTAGCATGACTCATTTATATGTACCTGTACAAGACTGAACCATGAATCTGGTCCCAACCTGACCAGGAGAGCTTATTTAAATCATCAAACAGATACAACCGATAACAGGTATCTAACATTTAGAAGGTAAATCAGCATGACAATTTTTTATGGACCTACCATGAATCTAGTCCCATCCTGACCAGGAGAACTTATTGAAATTATCAGACAAAAGCAGTACCTGAGAACAGGTCTCTAATATAAAAACTGAGAATAGGTATCTAATATCAAAATAATCATATAGATAACATAAATTAAAATCAAAACAGAGATGAAATTGGCTACTCCTTCATTATCCCTTCCAGTCATCCAAATCAAGCATGCCAAATGGAAGTTTAAAACCAGGTAACAAGTGACAATCGATTTTGATTTAGCTTCTGCTTAGGATAGATGTAGTCATAATTTGATATGTACATCATAAGTTGGTAAGAAAAGCCTATCTGAAGGAGTTAAGCTGCATGCCCACGTGCTAAAAGAGAACAGAAATACCTGATGACAAAGGTTCAGATTCAGAAACTAAATGCTACCATTGTTAGAACACATGAACACTATGTCACTAAGCATGATTCAGTGGAAGTGACAGCACAGCAACCAGTTCTTTCATAAGAGTGGGGCAGCTCCTGCTCAGATGCTCGAAGCCATCGGCAGCGATGACTGCACTGAGATTTGCCTGTGAACCGAGAAAATGAAAGCATGCCTTCTTCAGACCGGCACAGTGGTGCTGATCGGCCAGTGCCAGGATGTTCCCCACCGTGCCTACAGCAATGTATCTGCACAACCTTTCCTCGCAGATCAGCTTGAGCCTCTGCAGATTGTACCGATCTGCCGCGACGAGTAGATGCTGGCACATGACATTTATTAAGAAGAAATAATATGCCACTGAAAAGAAAAAACGGATTTATATCGATTTTGGACGGCTTAGACTACTCTTGACATAAAGTGACCAAGATTGAATGGCTTAGATTGATCTTAATCGAAGAGCACGAGAACAGCGGTTGCTGGCGAACCACAGCATGATGATGCAAATGGAGAGCACCATGAGGTAGAGAAGGCGACGGCTATTCTTACCAACACTTACGCGACGACGGACCGCGAAGGAGATGGCCAGCGATGAGCTCCGAAGGGCGACGTGGTACTGGTCAACGATGGCGACGGTGTTCCGGCGATCTTTGGCGAAGAAGAGGTGGTGGACGGTGTTCTCCTCGCAGCTGCGAATCCAGTGGAGACGACGGACGACGACGAACGGCGCGGCTGGAGGCACGGCGGCGACGGCGGTGCTCCACTTCACGTCGACGGGCAACCTCCGGTGGGATTTGGCGCAAAACAACCAGAGGCCGGGGTAGAGCTCGACTTTGTGTAGCCGAGGGAGGTGTCGGCGCTGACCGGCGACGGCCGAGGCGACGGCGCACGGCGGCTGGAGCGGCGGCCGGAGGTGGAGAGAGAGGGAGCTCGCGGGCAGGGGCGGCTAGGGCTCGGCGAAGGACGGGACTTGAGGGGATAGGCAGAGGACGACTAGCGGGTCCTTTATATAGGCACGCGAGCTCGGGTCCGGGCCCAAATCGACGGGAAAAACTCCGGGAAAGTTTAGGATCCTCGCCCGGGAAAAGGAAAGATTGATCCGCGAAATTAGAAAGGATTTCCATAGAAACTTTTGGGGATTTATTGGGGAAAAGGAAGAGGAGATTGAGAGGATTCCATTCCCGCAACTAATTTGGAAAGAGGAGCAACGAGGAGACCGGATTTTGGAAGGAGATCGGCGGCTGCACAGCACACGCACGGGAGAGAGAGGCGGCGGGAGGTTGAAGAAGGTACTGTAGCGACAGGGAGGCAAAACAGACTTTTGTCTGGCTGAAAAGCAAAGAAGTGGAGGAATAAGAAATAGACTTCCCGGAAAGGGACTACCTATACATTTGACGACAAATTTTTCCCCAAAAATTTGACAAATGTAATTATAGTACAATCATAGTGTAATTACACTATAACTTATATGTAATTACACTGTAACTTGTATGTAACTACAGTGTAACTTATATGTAAGTTTCACATAATTTTGAATCGTTGATCTATTACACGATTTGTTTTGGTGAGGAAGAAAACAAATCATAGCACACACATATGTAAAAGAATTTGTTCCCACGACCTCCATTTTACCAAAATAATATGTTACAAAGAGATTTTTGAAAGTTACATACAAGTTACACTATAGTTACAGTGTAATTACATACAAGTTACAGTGTAATTACACTACGATTGTACTGCAATTACATCTGTTAAATTTTTGAGAAAAAATTTGTCGACAAATATATAGCAAAATCGTCCCGGAAATAGAGCAGACGGCGCAGAGGACGGATGGCTGAGGATTACATATAGACTTTTCCAGTTTCAGCCAAAAAAGGAAAAGGATATTTAATTAACTGTTCCAATTAAATTAACCAAAATGAAATAATTTTTCAATTGTTAAAAATACTTCCAATACTCAAATAATTTCAAGAAAAATCCTGAAAATAATTGGACACTCAAAGTATTTAACAAAATTAAAACCAGATCATTTAATGATTAATTTATTGATGAAATAATTGCTGAACTCTTCTTTTGTATTATTAAAATTAATAATTAAGCTCTAAAAAATCCGAGAAAATTCCAGATAGTATAATTAATCATGGAGAATTCAATAAAAATTAAGTCCAGCCAAGTTTTTTATTTAGGAAATATTATTTCCCCTATTTAACTTCACTTGTAAATTAATGAACTTTTAATATAAATTCTATTAATAATTTATTAAATAATTTATACATCCTGAAACGGAAAATGCGGCGTGTGGCGGCGTCTGTGAGGCAGGTTCTCGGCATAGATCCGTGAACTTAGCCAGAAGTGGTTGTGGCTCGGCACCTTCGACACCATCGAGGAGGTCGTTGCCATGTTCGACGTTGAGCTGCTGATAGCTGATTCAGTGTCGCTCCTCCTCCCCACATGGTCGTGCGCAACGCAGCCATCGATGTCAAAGTCGTGGGCTAGCGGGAGAGGAGAGGAGACGAAGGAGGCGAGAAGCAGGTGGGGAGAGAGACGATGGTGATGGGTGCGGATGAGGACGAACAGCGGCGAATGGACCAGGGTCGCATGGCGGGGTTCTTCCACCTGTTCAACCGTCAGGCAGATCCAACTTTGTTGACGGGTTGAATAGCAGTGAAGAAGAGACATCAAGAAAGGCAAGGTTGGGATGTAGCGAGGCCTAGGAGGTCAGATCTGGTGGCCACGGGCACTGCGAGCGATGGATCCGGTGGCAGCAGGCCTCGAGAGCTCCAGTAGCAGTTGATGCCGTGACGACGGTGGGCTTGGGTGCATAGATCTTCCCTTTTTTCCACCACGATTGTATATGTGAGTTTGCGATCTGATTTTATATACGTATGAACCAAAAATTGTTGAACTAGATCCAAATTATTGAATTGAATTTGTGTAACGGGATCCAAACTGTTGTGTGTTTGAATTGAATTAAAGTTGTTGAATTATATTTTTTAGCAATTGGTAATTGCGATGGAACTATTTTCTTGCTAAAATCATTTCCAGAATAAGCCACCCATCCCTCAAAAGTAATTTGTGCAGACGGACGGCTTTAGGCCGGACCGCACATAAAAATTGATTTTTCCCTAACGGTTCCTTAGGTGGACGGCATGTAAAAATTGGACTTTTACAGCTGAACTGCCTTTGAAAATCAACATTCCCACATTGTTTACGTATAGTGGTAAAACCGCATTCACAAATCATAGAAAGCTCTTTTGTAGTATGAAAAGGAACTAGAGTTACCGATCAACGTGAGAGGAGTTGTTTAACAAAAAAAAAGAAAAAACCCGGAAAGCTGAGAGGAGTTTTTTAAATAAACAAAAGGGGGAAACCTGAGAGTTGTGATACGATGCGTGGACACACTGGACAGTGGATATCGAAAAACTTTTGCTGTCGTGAATCCGTCGTCTCGTCTCTCTCGTTGCGTCTCCTTCCACCTTAATTTGCAACATTAGTTCCTTTCTTATCTCCAGCGCTTAACCATATACGCGAATCCAGCAGCTATAGCGTCAAGCAGCAAAGCAAGCAATAGACGACGAGCCCACCTTGCCGTCCATGGGTCAATGCGCCATGTCTCACACGCGCTCTACCACCGCCGGCGCCGCCGGCGGTAAGCCGCCGATCGCGCCGCCGCCGACGTCCTCCGCCTCCGCCATTGTCGCCGACACGGCCAGCGGGTACCACCTCTTCAAGATCAACGACTACTCGCGTACCAGGGACATCTTCCCCACCGGCAGTGCCCTCAAGTCCCGCGCGTTCACCATTGGCGGCCACCAATGGCGCATCCATTACTACCCCAACGGCAACACGGAGGAGTGCGGCGAGTACATCTCCCTGTTTCTTCATCTCGACGAGATTGTCACCGACAAGAACGTGTACGCGCAGCACGGGTTCCGTTTATTCGACGAGTTTGCCGGTGATAATGATGACGATGATGAACTGCAGCCTTCCTCCATCGCTGACCTCGGGCAGGTCAGTACCTTTGGTGGCAACAACATTGGGTTGGGACGACTGAGGTTTATCAAAAGGGAAGAGTTGGAGAAATCGAAGTATCTGAAGAACGACTCCTTCACCGTCAGATGCGATGTCGTCGTCACCAAGCGGATCCGCTCGGAGGAGACGCCATTGGTGGTGAGGACCTCTCCAAAGCCAAAGGTGGCGAGGCTCGTCACCGTGCCGCCGTCCGATCTGCACCGGCATCTTCAGGACCTCCTCTGCGCCGAGAAGGGCGCCGACGTGGTGTTCGAGGCCGGTGGCGAGACTTTTACCGCTCACCGGTGCGTGCTCGCGGCCCGGTCACCGGTCTTCAGCGCGGAGCTGTTTGGATCAATGAAGGAGAGCGACACCACGGTGGTCATCCGCATCGACGACATGGAGGCACAAGTGTTTAGGGCCTTGCTCTTCTTCGTGTACACCGACTCGTTGCCGGAGACGAAGAAGGAGGACGAGTATGCCATGTGCCAGCATCTACTCGTCGCGGCGGACAGGTACAACATGGAGAGGCTCAAGCTAATGTGCGAGGAGAGGCTATGCAGCTACATCGGTGTGGGCACGGTGACGACTATACTGGAGTTGGCCGAGCAACACAATTGTGATGGCCTAAAGAAAGCATGCTTTGATTTTCTCAGCTCTCAGGAGAATCTGAAAGCTGTCACGGCCGGTGAGGGATTGGAGCATTTGAGCAGGAACTGCCCTTCCCTTGTGAATGAGTTGATTGGCACGCTCGGCAACTTAATTCAGTGACATCAGTATTCTTGTCAATGGATTTCTGAGCATTTGTGTCATCATCAGATAACTAGCTGGGTGGCCCGCACAATTGCGCGGCTAGCACCCATATAAAATTATATATTTTTAATATGATTTTACTTAAAATTTATTAAATAGTTATCTCGTTATCTTAAAACTTTGAAAGACCAAACCTTATCATCCCCGTGCTTCTAATTTTATAGTTTTTAAAAGTCACACCAGTTATTACCCCTTACTTCTGTCATATCCTTCTCACTGTTTCTATTCATTCTCCTTAGAATCTTTAAAAATTGAATCTTATAGTATTTAGAGTTTATTATCCTGTTGGGTTTCGTTTTTATAGTTTCTAGAAGTCCCGTCAAATGCTGCCATTATACTCATCTATGGTCGCCCACTGCCTCTTCTCTTTATTACCATTGGTATTTTAAAAATCAAACATAATTATTATTTAGGTTCATTGTTTACTTTCTAGAAGTTCTGCCAAAACGTCAGCGACTTTGTCACTGTACCCCTCTACGGCTAACCCGTTGTATCCCTTCTTTATTATCATTGAGATTTTAAAATCAAACATGATTATCATTAGGGTTTATTTATTTTTTACGTTTTAGAAGCCTGAACCTTTAAAAATTGGACCTTATAGTTTTTTGAGTTTATTGTCTCGTTGGGTTTCATTTTTTATAATTTTTAGAAATCTCGTCAAACGCTGCCAATATACTCCTCTATGACCCGTTCGCCGCTTACTCTTTATTATCATGAAATTCAAAAAGTTAAACATAACTATCGTTGAAATTCTTATTTTACTTTCAAGAAGTCCCACCAACCATCGGCAGCTCTGTCATTGTACTCCTATACGACCTGCCCACTGCCTCTCATTTATATTGTCATTGAAATTTTAAAAATCATATATAATTGTAATTAGGGTTTATTTTTTACTTTCTAGAAGTTCCACCAACCGCCTTGACCGATTGCTTTACGACCCGCCCATCGTCCTTCCTTTTAATCATCATTAGGATTTTATTTTGTCGGTTGCTGATTGTATTGTTTCTTAATAGTTATATATTGTGTTGACAATTTTATTGATGCCTGGTATTTATATGAGAATATTTAAATCACCATAGTCCATAGAAATTAGGGTGACATAATGTGCAACGAATACAAATTGACTGTTTTTTACTCCTACTGTCAACTTTTATCTTTACGAATTGTATCAGTGTCATGCTGTTGTGCTGTAGCCATGTCTAAACATAATCTGACATGGAAAAGTGAGTCTACCTTTGTAAATAATGGACTAACGTACTTGTCCGTTTCTAATACGTGTGTCCGTTTCTTATATGTCAAACTTATTACAAGTTTCCAAAACTTTTCAAGTACTATTAAATCTTAACCGTTTAAATCTAGATCAAACACAATCTAATGGTTAATATTTTTTGTTTTCCTTCGATTAACGTGAGAATTTCTAGCCTCAACAGTGAATGTGGTGCCTCCTTTCAAGTTGTCTTAATAATATAATAGATAGATAAATAGATTCCTGTTTCAGTAGAAGTATTAAGAAATTCTCTGTTTTCTTTTCATGGCATATCTACAACTATCCCAATTAATCGAGAATAATGACTTGTTTTTGTCAAAAATAAATCAGGAATAATGACTTTATTGTTACTCATAATATAGCTATATTAGTTAGCGCTGGCTTTTGTGTATTCTCATAGATATACTGCCAACATATTTGCGTAAATAATTTATAATCCTACAATAATACAATCAAACGATTACTATGATAGCAGTTGGACACAAAGCTCTATTCCCTGCGCTTTGCTGCAGAAATTACTGTAGACCCCCGATTTTGAAAATCGGAAATCTTCTGTGTTTATCCGTACCAATCCCTGGATCAGTAGTTGGTACACACATACATAGTTGGATCACAACATATCACGAATGAATTTAGGCTAAAAGAGTTAAACACTTACATTAGGGCCAGGTAGGCCAACAACTATCAGAGAACAATAGCGGAAGACAAAATAATATAAGGGCCCGGTTAACATGCCACAGGCAGTCGACTGGGGAACGAGACCTAGAACAAGACCGCACTCCGATCATCTTGTGGGATACGCAAGCGTACCGACAAGGGCTTCTCTTCAACACTCTCCTAAAAGATATATAAGTAACAAGGGTGAGTACCAACCGTACTCAGCAACCACAACAACAATGCATATGATAGAGGGTATTCAAGGAATGGTTTCAGGTTCTTTTGCATAAAGCTAATTTTTACAATTCTTTTCACAAGCCTAAAACCTAGCATAGACTGATCAAATTTTAGTACCAGTGTTCACTTTAAACAACGACAGTTCTGTCCACCATCCATTGTGATCCCAAGGATAGCTTCCCGCCATTGAATCGTCATGGTTTTCTGAGGATGTCCACCTTCCCTCCTCTCGGGATGTGGCTCCATCAGCATAAAATTCATCATGCAATATCCCATCCCCCACAAGTTAAGAATTTGGAGTCTAGCCAAGTGCAATACATGTCCCGGTGCTCAATAACCGCGAGCACGGCTATTCGAATAGATTTGGTTTACTCACACTGCAGTGGATGTACACTTTACCCGCACTCCGCGACTGCCCAACACATGAGCCTCGTCCCAACACATGAGACGCGTCACGGCAAAGCTTTTCGATAACCTCGCATTGGCAGTACCCGCTCCATGAACTTAAATCCTCATGCACTCTAGGCGTCCATGTTTTTAGCAGTGAGAGGAGTTCTGGCGCTCCCGGGAAAGAGAAGTCTCACAAACATATTAAATTATGGTTCAAGTTAAGTTCTCTCTCTCACACACTCATGGCAGTCCTACCAATGGCGACACCGATGTAGGGCACGCCTCTTGGCCCTACCTCAACGGCTGTCCCATCGTAGCGCACCTGCCTCACTCAGGGGTGAACCATCTATGCAGGGATACTGCCTCCGCTCGGCTATCTAATCCGCTAGGTCTATACCCATTCGAGAAGTACGGTTGTACGGGGGTCGTTTCATGCTTAACTTCATGGCTCGGTCCTTAATTGACCGGGGACGGTACTAGCCTTTTCCAGATACCACCCAAATCCTCCGTCCGCCCCAGTCAAAAACAGTTGTTTAATTTTATTTCTCCTTTCACAAATCATGTCATCAACATCATGGCAATGTGGCGCTCATGTCTCCACATGCCGCATCTCAATTACCTTCCCAAAGGTAATTGCCCAAGCATATAGCATTTGATAAATATGAGTATGCATGATTCTAGAATAGCATTTCTAAGCAATTGTCATAGTTGACTAGGGACTCATACGTAAACATGGTTACAAAGATTTAAGGGTAAACAATAATCAAGGCATGGCATAATCACAAGTAGGATGTTCATCATTGCATGCAATTTTATTTGTAAACAAAACAATTTCGCAATTAGGATCAGCATGTTCGAGGAATAGTGATGACTTGCCTTGCTCAGTCTAGTCCTTATTCTTGATATAATTCTTGATCAACCTTCACCTCCTGGAAGTTGCTGACGTTGCCTCACGACTAACCGATACATAAATTCTATAATACGCAAGAAAAACCAATATTCAAATAACAACCAAATATGCACAACAAAATATACTATTCATGTCTGCTAATGGATTCCAATCTCGCTAGGGGCTAAGGTTTCTTAATCTTTCTATTGTCAACGTGGCCTATTCAGGAGCTAGCCAATGTAGTATAAATGAGATACGTATCTGGCTAATATGTGGTGTAGTCTAGCTAATGGCTATGGAAGGATTATGGCTACACATGCATCTATCTAAATAAAATGGTCGTATACTAGAGGTTCTGTTGTCGGATGGATTTAGGATCAATCAAATAATGAATCATTTGTATTATTATTTAATTGATGGAGGCTTTACTTTAATTATGAACATATTTCACTTGTCGCAATAAATTATAAAAGGTTAATAATTATCCATGCTTTCTATGTTAGAGTTGTTTAGGTTAATCATATTGTGGTTACATATTATCCCTTAATGAACAATCCTAATTTACAGTTGAACTATAATTATATGAGGTCAAAATATATAACTAGTATTTATCTAATATACATGTTTGTCAAAAGATGGGTTATTGTTCCTATGTATGATTTTAAATGGATTGTACAGTATATGTGATCTAAGTGGGTTGACAAGTGATTTTACTGTTTGGGTAATTATTGGATGTTAACCGACTCAACCTTATTTGGGTGGTTCTATCATACCAACTCTGTTCCTATTCCTCATAAATAAATTAAAGACTCATCTATGTGTATTCATGTTTGATTTACCTAATTATAAGGCTAACTTTATTATTTAAATAATCTATAAGTCATGGGTTTAATAATACAACCATTAAATAGTGCTAGTATCTTCCAATACATTAGTTTGAGACATTATTTAAAATTAGTTTGTGTGGTTGCTACAGTGACAAAGCATGTTAAAGGCCTATATTATTACATCTACTCTATTGTACATTATCAAATATATTTATTAGCACATTTTTAAGTTGACTACTATGCATCATCTTGATATTAATTATTTAGTAATTAATAATATATTTTCTTAAATAATGAATTATATACCATTGGAAAGCTTATGAATTTAGATGAATTTAGGATCAAGTTTCATTCAAATCGGAGTTAAAATGAATAAGTTATGCTAGTGTAAGGATTCAAATTCGAATAATTGCGAAACAGTACTGTTCACATCCGATTTATTTTAATCCGAAACCTATCTACAGCTCAGAGTCACTGACGGGTGGGGTCAGGGGTCTTATTATCTTTTCTACCGAATTATTTTTGTTAGAGAAAAATGGGGAGTGGCCCGGCTTGTCAGTGGCTCGGCTGCTCTCTTTCTCTCTCTCGTTCTTTTCCTATCGTCTTCTACCTCCAGACCGTGCGGGAGCAGCAGGGGCGGCGCAGCGCGCGCGGCAAGGCCGGCGGAGGGCGACCCGACGGCGACCAGGGG